ACTGGGGTTTGGATGAGCCTCTTCTCAAGCACTGGGGTATGGACTATCTTCAGTCTCCTTCATTCTATGGTTTCCTCCCATGATGCATGTGTCTGGTGCTTAGGGACCCAGAGTACCCTAACACATCCATAACAATTGCTGCACATCCTATTCCTTGTCTTATCCCATTATTCAGCTCCCCCCACTTGTTAATTTGCATTCCTTTCATCCACCATTCTGTCTTCCTCTTATTTGATTGTTTAGTAACTATTCATTTGACTAAACACCCTACATTTGGTTCTAGGTGCTACTCCATATGACTGTCATTACTTCTGTACCGTACTCTGTTTTATTTTCCCCAGAGTTTGATGCACCAACCCCCCTCCCAGAGACAACAGAGAATGTGGTGTGTGCCCTGGGCCTGATCGTGGGTCTGGTGGGCATCATTGTTGGAACCATCTTCATCATCAAGGGCATGCGCAAGGTCAATGCTGGTGAACGCAGAGGGCCTCTGTGAGGCATCCACAGGTGGGTGTCATGTGGTCAGAGGAAGACATATATGGAGTTTTCCAAGGGTAGGAAACAGAATGGAGAAAAGGATGTGTGATGTCTTTAACAGAAAATGACAGGAAAGCCATGGCTCTTGATTTATCTTTGCTGGACAGAATCAGACTTTGGCATCATCTGGTATCCCAAGGTTTTAAGATCCCATATTCTTTCGCATACATGTACACCTAGACCACAAATTCAATCTTGGAAGTTATCTTTACTACCTAAGACCATTGATGCACATAATACTTATAAACCAAATGATCTAGGAAGGATTTGGGCACTTCTGGTTTATATTTTCTGAAGCGGTACATCAGTTCAGAAACATTTCCAGAGGTTGGCTCTTGTGGGGTTAAGATAAATTCACTGGATGAAATGAAAATCCCTTGAAGGCCATTGCCTGTTTTTATTTCTGTAATCTGAAAAGTGGTTTGGAAACTTCCAAGAGAACGTAAGCCGTGGTCTGCTCATTCATGCTTACTTGGAGAGTAGGGGATGCAGTTCATGTTGGAAAGGTTATATTTACTAGATTGTATTTACTATTACTTGGGTTAGATGAATATTAAGACACTTTTCCAAATCAGGGTTGCCTGAGTGGCTCAGCAGGTGAGTGTCCAATTCTTGATTTCAGCTCAGGTCATGATCTCAGGGTCATGGGATTGAGCCCCACAGCAGGCTACAGGCTGAGTGTGGAGCCTGCTTGGGATTCTCTCTCTCTCTCTCTCTCTCTCTCTCTCTCTTTTTCTCTCTCCCTCTACCCTTCTTCTCCACTCATGCTCTCTCTCTCTCTAAAATAAAAAATATTTATATTTTATTATTTTTTAATGTTTTATTTATTTTTGACAGACAGAGAGAGAGAGAGAGAGAGAGCATGCACGAGAGGGTCAGAGAGAGAGGGAGACACAGAATCTGAAGCAGTCTCCAGGCTCTGAGCTGTCAGCACAGAGCCTGATGCAGGGTTCAAACTGGTGAACTGTGAGATCATGCCCTGAACTGAAGTTGGATGCTTAACTGACAGAGCCACCCAGGCACCCCATAAAAACAAACAAACAAACAAACAAATAAAAAAATGTAAAGAGACTTTTCCAAATGAAAGGATCAAGGGAGAAAGGAAGGAATCTGAAAAGAGAGCTTGAAGTATTCATCTTAACACTTTAGTAACTATGTGTGTCCTGCTACAGGCAATGGCATTTCCTAAAGAGAAGATCAATGAAGAAATTTGTGCTTTAATAGCTTCATGAGCCCAGCAATACTCCAATTGTGCACCTCACAGAAGACAACTTTTCTCCAGCATTTTCAGCCCTTTAGCTATTCTAAGAATAATGATGCCTTCCTGATCTGTCCAGACTCTGACATCTAGTTATTCCCTGATTGTTGCCCCTTCTTGGGTATGTTTTCCTCCATTTTCTATCTTCATTTTAATATCACCATGTAATGCCTCTGGAATAGACCCTAGAAGATCCTTTCTCTATTATGGAACCTTTTGAATGTTCAATATAGACATCATTTCTACATTTATTGCTTGGGTTTCTTCAAACTGTAATTGTGATTTTTTGAGCACAATAAACTTTTGATGAGTCTGAGATGAAGTTTTGGTGTCTAAACCAGTTCTTCATAGGGACTAGGAAATATATGTGATTCTTTCTTCCTGAAATGTGTTAATGTTGAATGTGTGTGATAAATTCTGTAAGTAATCAGAAATATCTAGGTTCATTAGGACCATGCCTCACTTGTAGCATCCATAAGCAATCCAATCGCTGTGGTCCAGTCCCCCTAGGAAAACCCTGGAGTAGAGTTTGTTGGGAGATCTCTACTTAGCAATGGTTTCAGAATCTGATTTTGGTTCTTGAGTCCCTAAGTTAATAACATATCTGGATCTCTGGTAGGATGAATGTGGAAGCCTAGGGTTCAGCGTTAGATAATAGGTGAGACTGATGAGGAGGAGCAGATGGGAGTGGAGTGGGGAGACAATAGAGGAGGATTCATATACTTTACAGTATTACATATCAATTACATCCCGTCCAGGTTTAATGAAAAATAGGATTGAACGTTGTGGATCAACATTACCCATTTTATTGACATAGTCTTGGATGCCTATTTCATTTCCAGGAGAATGGTCTGACTTATTCCTAGAATAGTCTTGGATTGGATATGTATCCCTGAGTAGAAAAATCAAGTAAAAAGTGGGAGTTTGGGCAGAACATGACATTAAAATGGAAGGAAAAAATATTTAAGACACAGGGGGATATTGCTCATTTATCTGTGAAACTATTACTTGATCTTTATTTCTAAATGGCTAGCAGAGCCTACCCAAAACCATAAAGATTAATTATCCTGACAGTTTGTTAGAGTGGCAAATAAGGGATGTTGCATTGATGTCAACTTGGGGTTCATCTTGCTATACATTCACTAGCTGTGTATTCACTGATACCTTACTTAATTCAACTTACCTGATTCCTTTCATGAATATACTGGTGGGAATTTTTTATCATACTGAGTTATTGTAAAAATTAAAGGAAAACTGCAAGAAGAGTAATGAGGTACCACACTTAGTGGTAATAATGTTGCAAAAGTGATCAATTCTATTATTTTTTCTCAGAATTTCTACAGCCCGATGATAAAAATCTCAGAAAAACCAAAGCAAGATGACTTTGATGGGTAGCAAAATAGATCACCCCAAAATATACCACTTAGCCATAAGGATAGTTTTGAACTGATAAGGTGGTCTTGGGTAATATAATTGCTTTAGATTGCTTATTAGCTGAAGAAGGAGGCTGTGCCATAGCAAATACCTCCTGCTGCTCCTGGATCAATGCCTCTAATGTTACAGAAACTCAAGTACGGGGAAAAAAACAAGCTTCTTGGCTAAAACACATTGATACCAACTGGTTTGGTACCTGGGGGTCCCGACTAAGAGACATACTTCAGTCCCTTGGTATTCTCCTGATAGTCATCATGAAGCTACATTCTCTCAAGGGGCTTAAACACATGTTTATAATCACCAGCAGTACATCAGATGGTCTCACTGCACTTGGAGAAGCAGAAATGGCATGAACGGTGAGGTGCAAACACCTTCCACGAACCTGATCTGATAACCTAAGAGTTTCACAGGGAAACAAGAACAACTTAACCCTGATGGTGACAGAGAGACACTAATACAAAATTTGGTCCACCTCTCATGTGTGCAAGGATGACCAAAATGGGGGAATTGTTGGAGTAATTTTACTAGGAGGCCGTCAGATAGAGATGGCTCCAACATCTTGGTAACTTACATGAGCAAACTGAAACCTAAGCCAGAGTCAGTTCCTTTAAGTGCACTCATACCCCAGCAAAATTCACCAATAGCCAACTGGGATTTTCCAAGTCAGGCCAATGAATAAGGTATAGCCACTCAGGTAATTTCTGTGCTCTGTTTCTGCATCTATTCTAACAAATCCTTTCCCCTAAGCTCCTGTCAGAGAACTTGCACCATTTTGGGGTTGGCACTGCCAGATCTGAATAATTCTCAAAAAACAAAAACAAAAACAAAAACAAAAAACAACTCTTGAAAATTATCTTATGCCTCAGTTTCTCTTTTATCACTTTATAGGACTTACTAAAAACTATCAAGTTTCTGTACCTATGGCTTAAATAACGAAAGCCACATCTTCAGAAATTTGAAAATAAGCATAGGTATTTCTTTTACATCGCTCAATTTTTTTACTATAAATACAGGTACAATAGGAATAGAGTAAAACTTAGACACATGTGGAATAAAAAAGAAAACATCTCTATACTTCCATATACTTCCATACTTTACCTTTGAAGCGTAGTTTTAAGTTTACAGAAAAAATGGGCAGAAAGTACAAAGTTCAGAATTTGCATCTTCCTCCTGCTTCACAAATAGTTTCACCCTTTATTAACATTTGTCATTAGTGTGTTGCATTTGTTACAATTGATGAACCAACACTGATACATTACTATTCCCTGATGTCCATAGTTTAGATTAGGGTTCACTCTTTGTATTTTTTTGCATATATTTACTTTTTATTGAATTTGTTAATGTTACAGAGTCCTTGCACTGCCAAACCATGCCTGAGAATTCAAAGAAAGAGATGATACAGTGGACTGCCTCAGCTACCCAGCATACAGTATATTGAAACTTGATTCATGTGCATTTTTTATAATTTCACAATCTTTCGAAAAGTTATAACAAGAGTTGGAATTTTTATCTCCCACAGGCCTTCAGATTTCTAGTATAGTATGCCACTAAATAAAAGTTCCACACATTCATCTCAGTTTATTCCTCAATAACATAACCCCTAAACAAAATTTTGCTGGAAAAAAAAATGTATACTTTTCAGGGGAAATATGTGGCTCAAGGTCCAAGAGTTTATTTAAGAATTTTGGTTCCCACATGAAGTCTTCAGTTTGACCAAGAATCTCTTGTTTCTTGATTAATCATCCAACCTCTCCTTGGCTGGTTCAGCTACTCACCCCAATACACCAGAGACCAGGCATCCTGCCTGCCACCTCCGACCATACCATTATGGCTCAGGTGTGGTGGGCAGGTCCTGTCAGGAGATCCTGTCAACTCCCAGGAGCTGATTCCTGCACTGACACTGTCATCAAGACTGAACTCCCATAGGGGTTCCCCCCCCCCCAGGAACAGTTTTACTCCCTCATTTGCTTCACTCTGGCCAGTAGGAAGTCTGCAACTCTTGCATTTGGCAAAGGGATTTATTATAGAGAAACCCAGACTCTGCACCGAGCGGTCATGCATCACTTTGCAATATTTCTATTGACCCAAAGATAAAAAACTAGTAAATTACCAAACTATCTCATTAGATGGAAAAGCTTTTCAGTAATCCTGGATAGCTTCCTGAAGTCCCTTTAAGGACTAAAAATTACTGGATAGTTTAAGCTGTAATTTTTAAAAACAGAAGGGCTATGTCACCTGTCTCTCTCACCCTGGACTCTTCAAATGAACATAGACATACCAGAAGGTTGAGAACAGAGCTAAGCTGTCACGGTCATTGCATCTGCAGAATGTCCAATACCTTAAAAATTTGGGCACAAGCATGTCTGGTAATCTTTTCAAAGATCATGTAAGACCTGTGAAAACCTAAGTGGGTTTTAGGTTAAGGTTCTGTTCATGTTGCTCTGAATTTATAAGGACAGGTCAGCAAATCATGTGGCCTGAGCAGAACCCACACTTTCCACTGCAGTTTACTATACAATGTAGACCTGATTAGAGGAGGCTTTGGCAGCACCTGAAGTAGAGCCTCCCTGCATCCACTGCCCTTTACATCAAAGGCTATTTTGTTCCACTCTAGGGACTGGAAAATTCATGAGATGTGTCACAATCCTAATGCATATTTCAGGTTACTTATTCAACCAAGCAATATGCTCTGTCAAAGAACTTATTCCA